CTTCTCTACTTTTTATTTTTTGTATTTTTATTCGTCGATTTTCCTTTCCTTCCGTCAGAGAGTTCCGCACTCGAGTGATATACAATTTCACGCGGAAAATTCATTGGAATGCGTAGAGTATGAGGAGGTAACGTGTGACAAGGGGACGACGAATTAACGCGAAAAGCAGCAGGGTGACTCTTTGCTATTGTCGTTCTTGTTTTATTATCATTATTATCATTATCATTATTATTATTATTTTTTTGCAATTTCTTTTTCGTTTTGCTCCTCTACCATTTTTATTCCCATTTGTTGTTAAATATTTTTTTATTTTGAAATGAAATTTTGCGAAAACGAGTCAGTCTCCGTGCGCAAAAGGGCTAATTCTTCCTTTTGCAATTCGCAAATGGCTTTTGTAAATAAAAACTGCTAACGGGGTGGGAAGGGTAGGATGATGGAATGGTCGGTGGTGTATAGTGGCTGCTGGCATGGTTTTAATTAATTATTTTCTCGAATAGGTACGTCACCTTTCGTGAGATAATCCTAAAGGTTTCCCCAATAATTTACGCATCGATCGTCCGCGCATTAAATTACGATTTTCGCTTTGTGTCCCTTTGACAATACAACACTTGTTTTTTTTTCGTCAGGCAGGTTTTTTTTTCTTTTTTGTTTTTTTTTGTTTTTAACCAACGTAACGTTGCTATACCCAACGACCAATCTCATTCGTTCTTTTTAGTTTAGTTTCGTTTCGTTTCGTTTCGTCTCGTTTCGTTCGTTTGTTAAACGAGAAAGAGGTGGAAAAAATAAGCTTCTTACGAAAAAAAAATTAAATAAATAACCGTACACCCGCGTACGAGTTAAAATAACGCGTTTTCCAACCCCCCATTATCCTCAATCCTTTACCCTCTAAAGTAGTTGGCTCGTTTTTTACATGAATTACTTATACTTTCTATTTTTAATAACAATAATGATAATAATACTGAACAAAAAATATAATGTTTCATAAAATAAGATTCGAATATAATCTGGATATTATTATCAAAATATTTCTGACACAAAGAACTATTGGTAAACTCGTTGAAATGTTGAAAATTATTCCACCGTTCTCTTGTTCAAACAACCTTTTGATATCGCCGATTCATTTGTTTTTTTAATGCGAATTATTATTTTTATTCTCTTTTTATTTGTTTGTTTTTTTTTATTTTTCCTACGTAAAAAAATGTTTATAACGAAAAGGGTGCTATAATCTGGTTATTATTGTAGAAATATTAAAAAAAAAAAAAAAAAAAATACTAGTACATACATGGTCGTTTTCACGCAAAGTCGGCTTAATATTTTTATTATGAATTATTTTATTTCGTTTTATTTGTTTGAATTAAGATTCGAATATAATCTGGATATTATTGTAAAAATAATATTTATTTATATATAACATAAAACAAATAAAAATGCATGCAGGAAAATTTTTTGCGCTATAAATCCATCCGTTTCGATCGAGGCGTTGACAATGGGCTTATTTCTTCTTTTCTTTTTTTTTTCTATTTTTTTTTTAAATACGCATATTCGTGCGCATTTTTAAAAATATTCCAAATAAGGTTTCAATATGTAAAAAAAATTATTTCGATGAATCGATTAATATTTTCCACCAATACATTTTACCGTTTCGTAGATAATTATTCTAAACAAATTAAAAAAAGAAAAGAAAGAGAGAAAGCGTAAAAAAATGCAAGGGATTAAAAATTCTTTTTTGAAGGATAATAAAATATAATATCATGACGCGTGAGAGGGGTTGAAAAGAAACCAAAAAGGGGGTTATAAGTCGTAGACGATCGTACGACTGTTCGAGGTTGGCACGAAAGGGTGAAAATAATTCACGAAAATGGTTGGGCACTTGCCCCTTCCTTCTCTCTCATTCCTTTTATCCTTACCTTTCCTCGTTTTAATCCTGTCTAACGTTACGACAAAGTCAATCTCTCTCTCTCTTTCTCTCTTTCTCTTTTAGTTTGAACATACATGGGCGTTTTGTACATACAAACAGGAGTAATTGTCGGCCAATTAAGGTGGTCGCGCAAGCAGCTACCGTTACTACGTTTTACGTATATATATATAACATACTTGGGTTTGAACGTGTTCATGGGCCACTAGAAAGAGAAGGATAATAGATAGAATGAGAAAGAGTTAGGTGTGCCGTCGTTGTTAATCGTGCTCATAAATAACATTTATTGGTGGGCCCTGGGTTCTAATTGCCAATGATTACCTTACCTACGCCACTGAGAAAAATTGCCAATTTGCATCGAATGCCTCCTTTACTCCTATTTTCTCCTTCTTTCACCCTTCACCCCTACCCATTTCAACGGAGGCTAAAACTCATTCGATCGCTTATCCTAACTCTCTTTTCATACCAACGTAAGGAGTTCACGAGAAGAATTATACACCGTGGACGATAATCGATTTTGATATCGGTCCTATTATTTCTTAAGTTTTCTTACTTTGTTAAGTAACTGCCTTGCGATTATCTACACGCGAATTATTTCTCATTTGCATTAATAGGTGATTATTTTTTCCTTTCTTTTTTTTTTTTTCTTCTACACGCGTATTATTACCCTTCTTCGTAACAACTATTTTTAACGTTTTCTTTTTTTTTTTTTTGTAATATTCATTTTATGTATTTGAATTTTTATAATATCTTATATTTATTTAATTAATATTTAAATTCTTGTGCAAAAAGGTTTAAGAATTAATAAAAAGATTAACAGGTATATAGTTAATTTATTGATTGAAGAAAATAGACATTGTCAAACTCGTATAAATTCGCGATGTTCAGTCAAATTTCGATTCGGTTGATTCAACTTTCAAATAGTTACCTTATTCCTGTGCATTTTCTTCTTCCCCTTATCATCTGTTTCTCATTCTCTAACACGCCTATTTCCGTTTCTTCGTTTTTTGGGAAACGGATGCAGAAAGAGAGGAGGAGGAGGAGGAGGTGGTGTAGGTTGTGTAGAAGGAAGAAGAGATGGGTGGAGGTTCGCGTTCACACCCGAATAGAGTTGGATTTCGCTCTCCTGAATACACAATGGGATTTATTTGAAACGTGGCGTATAAAACACAAAGGACTCTGTATGATTGGTAAATTATTGAGGCAAGCAGGATTTGTCGGCCAATCACGTAGCGCCTTTAAATAATTCAAAGGAAGTTCGAAAGCAGAAAGATCCGACTTGAAATCACATAGAAGATAAAGAAAAAATGTTATCTGTAGTCGATATACATAGCTATAGAATCATTATACGTTTAGAAAAGTATGTGTTTATCTTTTTCTTTTCCGTTTTCGTTTTTTTTTTTTTTTTATATTTCTAGTGTATTATTTATAGATTATGAGATTGTTTCATGCATAGGAATGATACTTAAAGGAATAGTTTCATATTCTGAAAGGTGTATCATATTTTAAACTTATTTTCAAAGGAATATTATTTAGATATTTTATTGCATATAATTTTTTCTTTTGTATGTAGCAGCAGTTGGTGTTCAATTTATTTGACGGAAAATACACCTGATTTGCATATTTTATTTGATTGCATAATTAAATTGCTTTTTAATTTTATTAATCGTAATTTGAACAAGTGGTCCAATTGTGTTAGTCGAAAATTTGATTATCGGTTGGAAATCTCTCGCTAAGGGTAAACTATACTGGTAGTATATTTTATTAGTTACAACTTTTACTGATCGCAAATTCAACTGGTTGGAAATGTGACCTTGTCGCAAATGCCACTAATTGCAAATTTTATTGGTCCCAAAATCTCTCTCTCTCTCAATCGGTTTCGAATGAAACCATTTTCAAATCCATCTAATTGTAAATGAATAATACTATTTATAACACACCCACATACATACACAGATAAATAAATCAAGATCCGATACATTAGAATGAAATAACATATTACTATGCAATAGAAATGAAGAAAAAATAAGTATTATCTATCGTGAGATAATATTATAATATATTAATATTATATACGCGTAAAACCTTCTTCCACCTTCGTAAAAAAAAAAGAAAAGAAAGATCTATCAGAATCAAAGTAAGAATCTCCATGAATAAATAGAAGATATGCGCGAATAATTTTGTTTCGTTTTTTTTCTTTTTCGATCGTAGGCGATCAAAGTAGCAAAAGAACGGTCCCTTTTCATTCCTTTTCCTTTTTTTTTTCCTTCTTCTTTTTAGGATATAGCTGTTATCGCGATTGGAGAAAATTTCTTCAGAGAGTACGCGCAGACAACAAATCCCCGAAGCGAGCGTATGGTGTTTGAGAGAAATAAAACATTTTCTTTCTTTCTTTCTTTCTTTTTATTTTCTTTCTCTCTTGGGCGATAGTGTACGCCCGGCAATTTTGCGGAACACGGTCCGAACTTTGCGCATAACTCAGCCTCGTTATCTGACTCGCAAATAAGGCAAAGGAAAAGTTCGCGACATCAATCCGGCCCTCTGTCGAGAGATTCGAAGTTGAAACAATGCTTAAGTCACCCTATAACGTATGAGCCCCAAGAGGGTGCCATACGAGAAAGATAGAAAGAAAGAAAGTATCAGAGTTAGAGAGAGAGAACGAGAATCGTACGTCCAAAACATTTTCAACCTCGATTCTTCTCCAACCTGTGATTCAAATTCTTCTTCGATATATCATCGTTTACTACTTTACGTTTATATTCCCTTTTTTGTTGTTTTATTTGATTTTTATTTCTCGTTAATTTGCAACGCGACGTAGGGGAAACTTTATTTACGATTAATTCATTTGAGATAACGTGAATAAGATAAAATATTTACCTATGTAGGTGTACGTTGATCTCGGTCAGTCCTGAAATAAATATAATTCAAGGATTTTGTCTTGAAATTTAATTGAATAATTAATAAACAATGAAATGATTTTATTCGGTGAATGTTACATACATCAGTGTTACAATAATTCGTTCGTCTAAAATTCAACAACAAAGGGATACACCTCTCCATCATTTTTTTCTTTTTTCCTATTTTCTTTTTTTTTTTTTTATCGTTTAATTTTATACACATCGTTTAACATTATCCTTTCACCGGTTAATATTATGAGAAAATTCGTAATCGAAGAAGTCTCTCGAACGATCGATACACTTCGAAAAAAGCACCATTATTATCATTTATATTATCTTTCTTATTCTTTTTTTTTTTTTGTTTATTTTTTTTTTTCCATAAAGATAATATTCATAACTATCTATCTACAAAACGAAATATCTCCTCTTTTCTTTCTTTATTTTTATTTATTTTTTATTGATCGATCTTATCAGTTCGTTTTTTTAAATATCATCATAATTCGCGATCCCGTTTGTTCATTTTCATCTCCACGCAAAATGATCGATAAATGATCGATGGATCGTAACAAATCTCGCGGAATTGACTTTGGACGAGTTTTCGTTTCTTACTTTTCTCTTTGCAGTAATCACAAAAGGATTTTTTTTATCATTATCATCATCATCTGTATTTTTTTTTATTCTCGAATCGAAGACTTGTGATTCAAGTAAAAATGCGTAAATAAAATTGACCGATAATAACGACGATAAACTACGCTCATACTCTTATTCTTGTTCTCCTCAAAATTTGATCATGTTGTACATGTTTAGAAATATATACAGTGAGTTACAGAAGTATTCGCATCCTCCCTCTTATATGTACGAATATTTCTGTGACTCACTGTATATACGTATATGCGTTTGTGCGTGTACGTGTCTTTTTGTTCGTTTTATTATTTCCGTATGTTAAGAAATGTAGGTGTTGTTTAATTGTACGCAGCAATACTAATAGTAGTAGTATTAGTAGTAGTAGTAGTAGTAGTAGTAGTAGTAGTAGTAGTAGTAGTAGTATTAGAAGTAGTAGTAGTAGTAGTAATAGTAGTAGGCGTAGGTAGACGCGTGTATATCGGCGCTTATTTCGTTTGTCATTTGGCATCGTACGGTGCTTGCGCATTGATACCATTTAAATTATTCATGGGGTTGAGAACGTTGTGAGCGCTTGATGTAGCCGGTGCTGGATATCCATTGTGGTTATGGGCTGTTTCCCCATTCGCCTGTCTCGGAGGACCTCCGCCAGATACCGTCTGAAAAATAAAAAAAAGAAAAGAAAAAAAGGATCGTACGATTATTGCCTATCGTTTCGTCTTACGTTAAGGAAAAAGAAAAAGAAATAGAAAAAAGGGAAAGGAAAAAAAAAAAAAGAAAAAGAAAGAAAGAAAGTTGATAGGTATTATTTTTATATATTTCTTACCCATCAAAGCTGAACGATTTATTTTCCTTTTAAATTATATTTTTATTTTATTTTTTTTTTCGTTCAGTAGTACAACTCAATATTAGGTAGTTTCTATTTCTATAGAACCCTCTTTTTCCATTCCTTCCTACCTTTCGTCCTTTTACCTTATACTTTAACTTCTGTCTCTATTTTGAAAATCATATTAACGTAGAAAGAGAAGGATAGATGGAATAAGAAGAGGAAGATGTAGCCATGGATAGAGGTGTAAGTGTTGTTGAAAACTTTCAACTTCCTATCTTGTTCTTTCTCTTTCTCCTTTCCTATCTGTATTCTCATCGTTCAATGTCTATCTCTCTCATTCTCTTTTTAGCCGTAGAACATTTTGGAAGACTCGACGGGTCCCTTTTCTCTTAACTCCACTACGTTAAAGGTGTTAAATTATACAGGCTTAAAATTCGGCAGACCGTGCGACTGTTCTCTCCCTCTTGACGAAACAACGGATCTTCCCACGGCAGCTTGCTACTTTCTGCGTAGCTCTTCTTACTTTACGAACACACTTTACGAGTCGATCGTACCAATTTAATTACGAAGACGAATAGTAAAAAGGGTAAACAGGGATAACCTCGCTTATTCCTTTTGTTATTTTATTTCAAATCATTCATTTTTGAAAAATAAACGAAAAAAAAGATAATCTTCTGTATATATTAAAAGTAGGTTGGTAGATATTAGAATATATTTTAGGAAGAATTTTTCCGGTCCTTGAATTCATCTTCAGAGAAAGAGGTTACGTAGTAGTAGTAGAAACGTAGAAGTAAGAGTTGAAGTAATTAACTCGTAAATAATTACGATAAAAATGACAAAGCGTCGTGAAAGAAATGCTTTATCGTTCCGTTGCCGCTTGCGCTAGCAAGGGGTGACTTTCCTCCCAGAAGGAATCCCTAAATCTTAACCGTAGCTAGTGAGAACCCTTTCCAAAAGCTCTGCTTCTCTTCTTTCTCTCTGTTCTTTAAGAACTATCTCTCTTTCTCTTTCCATCTAAACGAGTTCCGGTACGTAATTAAGAAATCTTCGTGGAAGGCGACGGAGGAGAGAGACCATCGTCCTTTTCCTTCTATCTCCTTTTTTTCCCTATCCCTTTCTCTCTTTACTTTTAGCATGGGTTAAATTAAGTCTATGACTTATTCAAGTTTTATCTACAATTGCCAGAGGAGGAATTGCCATGGTCGTGGATTTACTGCCGACATTGTAATCAAATGGCACGCGTTTCACTATTCTCAACAATTTGAAAACTTTCTTGGATCATTTTGGTTCATGCATTCATTCATTCATTCATTCATACATTCATTCATTTATATTTCGTGTGTGTTTCCTTAGTAAATCGTGAGAGTATTCGCATCCAGAAAAATATATATTTCGTTAATTAACAAAAGTATCCTTTGTTTGAAATCAAACGGGAAAATAAGGTTAAGATAAGATGTAATAGATCGAAAGGCTCATTTGTTGTTTCCCCTTCTCAGAAAAGAGCCAAATTTTCTTTCTCTTTCTTTCATTTCGGTATATAGAAGTCTCGTTAATGGCAGGTTACACGCACGAAGTATCCTCCTCCAAATCTTTTTCTTATATCTTTCTATCCCTCTTCTTCTTCTTCTTCTTCTTCTTTTTCTTCTTCTTTTTCTTCTATTTCTTGTATTTCTTGTTCTGGTTCAGTGTACTCTAATTCCTTTTATTCCAATTCGTCCCCGTTGATCTCTTCCTTCTACCAAAAGAAGAGAATTCTAACCCGCGAATAAGACATTAATCGCAAAAACGAAAGCAGTTTACAAACGACGATGGTAAATGCGGCCCTCCAGGGAGGGAAGGGTGGTAGGGAGGTTGGAGGGTTGCTTAGTTGCCGTTTGAGAAGGGCAAAATTCTCTCTCTTTCTCTCTCTTCTTCTCGTTTTATGAAAAGGGAAAAAGGTAGGGGGAAGAAGTGGGAAGGTTTGCCGAGAATCGCGTGTCATTTGTCCGTTGATCTCCCGTAGCTGGGAAACAGTCCAGGTGTGTGTTGTTCTGTAACTGCTTTTGGCCATTCCTATTCTGCTACTGATATTTAGTTCACTTCTTTATACTTCTTGCTTCGTGCAAAAATTAACACCATCATCATCACCACCACCACCACAATCATGATCTTTTCCTAGATCTAAATTAAACTGAGAGCTATCATTATCCATTTTCTTTCATTTCAACCTTCTTGTCTACTTATTTTTTTTTTATTTTTTTTTATTCTTGAAAGTCTAGATTTCAATTAAAATTATTTGATTAGATCCAGGAATCTCTTTTAGAATGTTAAAGTAGCTTATTATCTGGTTACACAACTGTTTATAACGTTGTTTCAAGAGAATTCATTCGCAACTAAACTCATAATCTCTCGTAAGCTTGCAAGCTGCCCTTTCCCATAAAAGAGAGAACGAGAAGGAGTGAGAACTATTACTAGTTATCTCGTGTATATAGCTATATGTACATTTAGCTAAATTTCATGTGAACAGCACGTAGAAGATGAATAAAATGTTTATTAAAAATATAAAATTATTTACAATTAATTATTAGAATTATTTTTTATTTAAATATAAATAAAATTTAATGATAAGGATATTGCTTGTCATTTTTCTTTATAATGCAAATAAGTTACTTTTGTCGCGCATTTCGTATTTTATCGATAAACCAATGAATTATTAGATAAATAAAGGTGTTACTATTATAATTTTATTCGAAATAAATAAACATTTTCCGTTAATAGAGTATATTAATTATTAATTATTACTTTGTGCATTGGATATTAATTTAATTTGAAATTATAGAACGCATATATTAGTTAATTGGATACGCTGATAGTTTACTTTGAGTATAAATGTTTGTCGTTCGTCCGCAAAACGTTAATTTACGTTTCGGTTGAATGCACTTTTTAACTTTAAGGGGTAGGACCACTCTTGCTAGAGCTTATGGAAAAATAGTCTAGTTTTGAGAATTTTCTATGGAAATACATGGTGAGTTGGTAAAGGTAGGGAATACATTTTTATGAATAATTTTTTTGCACAAGTTTAAATAGTCAAAAGTAAGTTCCCTTGTAGATAGCAATATTTTCATAAAAAAAAATTCTCAATAAAGGGTTATATTTCCGTGAATTGGATTAACCAAAAGTAATCCCTTTTTAATAAAACTTAAATAAAACTTAGTATCTAATCGTTTAGAAGTCTGGTATAGTTATCATAATATCTTATTCCCTGTACGATTTCCATGGTGCACATTGATCCTCTTAAATTCCCATGTAGCCAACGTCTTGGCATTAGCATATTATCTCACCTCTCAAAACCTCCCACCATCATTTCCACTACCACCAGTAACCACCTCTACTTTACCAGTTGGTCTCTTGGCGATTCCACCCCTTTTCCTTCTATATCTCTCTCTTTCTCTCTTTCTCTCTTTCTCTCTTTCTCTCTTTCTCTCGTTTTAAAGCAACCTTCTTATTCTCTCCCTTCTCTCTTCTTCCTCCTTTCTGATTCGCGAAGGACTTTACAGACACTCGAGAGTTTGTTTTAAAACTCAGATAATCGTTTCGAAATTTCTCCCCTTCTCTCTATCTCCTTCTTCTTCGTTTCATTCCCTTTTCTCTTTCTATTTCTTATCCTACCCTTTCCTCTTTCCTCAACAGGAGAGGAGTCTCGTCGTTCCGCATTGCGCCGGATCCCAAGGGGAAAATTAGACCGAAATAAAAGTTCTTCGAGAATTTTAAGCGCGTTACGCCTTCATCTCTTCTTCTTCTTCTTCTTCTTTTTTTTATTTTTTTTTATTTCCTACGATCGAACTTTCTTCACAGAGATTTCAATGATTTCCTTCATCTTACCCGTCCTTCTACTCTCCGATAATTTATTTCCTCGTATTCCCATAAAAAGAAAAACGACACAAATATTATTTAAGAATACTTTACCCGATTTTTTTTTTTTTTTAAAACATCATTAAACGTTTTCTGTTAGTTACTTCATTGATTGCAAAGATCGTAAGTAAGGGGGTCAAAAAATAAAAGGGATTTACGAAAAGAAGGATCCTAATTCGATTTATCGAGGGTGATGACTAAACTGTTCTTTTCTTTATCCTCTTCTTCTTCTTCAATCCCTCTTTTAGAAAGAATGAAAAAAAAGGATCGTGTAGAGAGTTATTCGTAAACTGTGTGGTTCTTTTTTCTTCTTCTTGCCTCTCGCGGCATTATTTAGAACGAACGAAGCTAGAAAAAAAAAGAAAAAGAAAAGAAAAGAAAACGGATCCTTTAGCAAGGTGCTGTTAGTATTGGTTGGTGGTGAGTGTCGGTGGCTAAGAAAGATCGAGACAGCTGGCTGTTCTCAGGCAATCAGAAAAACTACCCTTCCCCCATTTTCAACGAACGGTGTAGTAGTCTCTTTCCTCCCCCACTTTCACCCCCTCATACCCTTGCATTGGTACAGCTTAAGGAGGGTACAAACAGGGTGGCAGCTGTCTCAACGATGCTGAGAACCCTCTTCGCGGTTTTTAAGGACCTTAACGCTTTCTCTTCCCTTTCATCCCTCTCTCTTTTTTCTTTTTATCTTTTTTTTTTTTTCGTAACTGGACTCTTTTTATATTATTAAGATCCTTTTCGTTTCTCGCGGTGATAGTCGAATATTTGATGAAGTTAACCGTTTTCCCGTTCACGAGTCATCGAACTCCTCTACCATGAAATGTCAGATGGACGATCGATCTCAAACGATTGCTTACGTCGATGGTGGGTTGATGGTATGGTTTGGTATATAACATCGAGGGTTTGTCTCGAATACTCTCACCCCTCTGCGATGATATCGAAGGTATTCACGCTCAAGGAACGAGATGTCAAGAGGGATCCGTCTAGAGGCTTAGTCTAATAGATGCGCCAAAATGACATTAGCATGCTACTCTCTCTCTCTCTCTCTCTCTTTCTCTCGCTCTCTATGCTCAACCTATCGACATTAGCTTCCTCTTTTACCTCTTATTTTCTTCTTTACACAATCATTTATAAAAATTTCTTTTGACATTTTTTATATAATAATAATTATATATTAAATACTTCACTTCAATATAAATCTTTAGAATGACGATGATGTGTACAATTTTATTATCACGTTACTCGGTATGACAACTTTACTTAAAACTCAGTTTAAAGTTTTTCAGGTGACGTAAGAATCAACCTTACTTACTGTTGTAAAAGTGTTAAAAGTATTAAATGTATACTAATTATAAAAAAATATCAATGTCACAAAGTTTTTATTTGATCGTTACATTTCATGTTAATTAAAACTGCACCCGTGATGTACACGTATTCATTCACACACACAGCTACGCACAGAATATACAGGGAAATTACTGACACATACATACATATATACATACTTACTTACTTACTTACTTACTTACTTAAGCGCGTTTAGTTTACTTGAGAACACTTACGTGGCATAGAAATAGAGTCGCAAAGGGTTAGCAACCCCGTTGTTACATGCAGCTCGTCGACAGGACGAGAAAGAGAAAGAGAAAGAGAAAGAGAGAGAGAGAGAGAGAGAGAGAGAGAGAGAGAGACAAGAAAGGGAAAAGGGAAAGGGAAGAAATTTGCATATTATAAGTAGTACACGTTACCGAGACTGCTGATATCATCGGCTTACAGGGACCTCGTTACTTCGTGCATGCGTATGATTCCAGTGTGTGTTAACTATTCACGACCTTCGACCTCCCTTCCGGATAATGAGAAATAAAAAAAGAATATTATTTTCTTCGATTTCATTTTTTTATTATTCATTATTCCTATATATGTAATTTTTTTTGGTAATTATTTTTTCTAATATAATTAAAATAAGCTTCAAACAAAATACGAGACATTCTCCCCTTCTTTTTATATATATAAATTTTATAAATTATTATCTATAGTATGTTTTTAGTGCTTTTCTTTCTTCTAATTATTTCATTTAATTGTTTGATAATTATTAAAGAGGGTTTTAAAGCTATCGTATAATAAATTATAAATTCTATGCTAAAAAGGTGACGTCAAAGGATAAGGCGAAGATCCTTGCAAGACGAGAACTAGGATTAAGTAGATCTGATCCTCGTTGGGTCAGACACGGCGAGGTCCTTCCTACTCTGTACGCCCGAGGCTTAAGATATTGTTTTGAAGCAAGGTTGTTGCTTTAGGATAATCAAGAAGACGTAATCCTAAAAGGCTTAACGACGATGAGTCCATAATTCCGGAAGTCCTCGTTCTTCTCAACTATCTTCCATGTTTTTTTTTCATTCTTTTTTTATCTTTAAAACTTTCTTATAGTTTTTCTATTTACTGATACAAACAATTAAAGTTATCTAATTTTTCTCACTTCAATACGAGTATAAAATAAATCATATTGCATATTTTTAACTTAGTATATGGAATACATTTTCAAAATAAATGTTTCATGTATACATAAGAATTTATATATTAATTTAACACATAGATAGTGTCTTTTGTTCGTTAATTCCAATGTAATTCCTCTCGAGAATCCTTTTAGTAAGAGAAAATTCTTTCGCACGTTCCATCTAACGTATACTCTTGTAGAAGAGGCACCGATCGTTAAGGCATGCGGCGTGGCTTGCTTAACGGTCGAGCTTAATTAATAAGGACACGCGATATCCTAAGTTAGAAGACGTTGGTAGTCAGGGTATAAAGCATAGCCGAAGCCTCGAGGGAGTCCTTTGTTGTCGAGAGGGTCAGGATGAGCGACCTGCCACTTTAACCCACCTTAAGGGATTACGTCTTCAGGAGTTTCCTTCTTGCCTATTCCTTCCTGCAGCTTCCTCTTTAGATACCTTAACTCCTTCCTACCTTTCTATTCCTTTTACCATCGTTACGTCATCGTTCACACGTCATTACTTACATCAATGGTCATCTCAGTTATTTATCTTGAAATTTTAGTTGTCATGCATTTGAAAGTTCATAATAATACTTACTTGAGGTTGAAGATGCGTGACTTGTCTTTTAATATGTGCTAGGGTATCGTTCGGTGGCGGATGTGGCATATTGGCAAAGTATACTCTTTCCTTGTAATGATACTCGCAAAGAATTTTATTCTCGTAGAGATAAAATTGATCGCCCACGCAAAATCTGCAATCAAAAAATAGTTTATCAATTTATAATCTTTTCTTAAAGTATCAAAAATATGTAAATGGTAGAATTCGTGGTGTTATTCGTTTGGAGGTGGTAGAGTCTTATCGAAACGACAGTCGCTAAGTTTTGCGAAACGGAAACTACGGTAAGGAATTTCGCCTATCAAGAAAAAGAGAAAAAGAGATAGAAAGAGTTTGGAAGGGGGAGTTGGGGGTGGGAGAAAGACTGTACAAGGTTGGCAGAGCAGTAAAGCGTGCTAATTCCGTTTAAGACCGCTTTCCGTTCTGCTCCTGCAAGGAAATTGCGAGAAAATAAAAACAAGGAGCGAAGTGGCAGCACAGACCTCCCCTCACCTATCCCTCGTCCTCCTGTTTCTTCAGTTGCACCCTCTCGTTCCACTTCGCGTTTCCGCAACTCTTCGAGCTCCTTTAGATGTAAATTTCCAGTCGATTCGCGAAGCAAAACTATACTACGAGAGTTTACTATATAGATCGGATTCCTACGATGCCGAGAAGAGCCAGTTTGAGCCAGGAAAGAAACCTTTATACAGTCTTTAACCCAAACTCACTTGCATTCCGTTTTTTTCATTTATAAACGAGATAATATAACATAAGAATTTTTATTTTTAACAAAATGTTGAATGCTAGACTACGTTTTATGACTAACAGTTACAGGTAAAAAATAGCATAGTATTTTTTATTTTTTACGATGACGAAACCCAGGAAAGTTCGCATACTTTGTTAAAATTCGAAGTAGAAGGGACAGTAGGAGGATTTTCAAGTAATCTGGTATGGTGGTGTGTCTATATATGTATAGATATATAGTGGAGAAAGAGAACGAACCGGTACACGCGGATTTGGAGATGGCGCAGAGGTAGAAACGTGCTCGGTTTGCGATATCAGAGAAATAAGCTTTGCCACGAGGGTTATACGCATCTACCAACTGTCGCACCACCGTGTCGACGCCTCCAGTTCTGTTTTACTTCTACTACTACTACCACAACTATTACTACTACTATTACTAATACCTATACTACTACTATTCCATGGGAAAAGCCCCGTTTTAAAATCAAAGATTTCGCATTTTTCCTTTTTATTGCCGGTTTAAAAGTCAATTTTTCTCTTCTATGTTCCACACTGAATTCATCTTTCTTACACGTTTTTTTTCCGTTTCTCGTGGTATTGTCTATCTTTATCTCGCTTTATCTTTCTGCGAGTGTCCGCAGGAGGGACGTTATGCGGAAAATGCTAAGGAGGCATGGAACGACGATCTCGTAAGGGGGCTTTGGTTGCTTTGCTTTTCGACAGCCACTGAAAGAAAAAGAAGAAGTTTAAAGATAAAAAGGGATGGAAAAAAGGAAGGAAGGAAGGAAGGAAGGAAGGAGTATGCCAAAGGGATCGAAGATCCACGAGGGACTCGAAAATCGTTTCGTCAGGATCCATATTCCGTTAAAATTCGTATCAGGTAGTTCGAACATCGGTCTTTGTAATAGCCTTACCTAAAATGTCTTACATCATACGTTCCAAAAATCAGACTTAACAAATGTTACTTTTAATCTTAAACATTATCATTTTATTTAACAATTCACGTTAGTCTTCAATCGATTTTTCATTTCATTCAAACATCTATTAAATTTCGTCGAAATTTTAATAAATTTAATCAAATAATTTGTTTGTTAAAAGTTGGTTTAGTTGATAACACAAGGGGTACACATGTGTGTGCACGTTCCAAGGTAAAAAAAAAAAATACATACGAACGAACATACATATTCCGTATTCAACGGATGTGCCGGTTCCGCTTTTGAGATCCTGTTTGGGTTTTATGTCAGGATTTCTGTCGAGTGGTTTATACCAGCGCTTATGTAAATGCAGACGTGATTTTTTTCACCACCTCTAGCCGGTAGCAACGCTTGCATCAGTGTATACTAACACACACACACACATACACCTGGTACATGCATAGTACGATCTTTCAACGACTCGAGATTTCAAGTGTTTTATTCGAAAACATCATTGCAGATTTAAAAACGTCCAACAATTTTTGTTCTTTTTTTTTGCTTCTAATACTTTCATATAATATACTTTTTCCCCCAGGTGTGTTACGTTCAAAGCAAACGATGAAACATTTATCATCAGGTTAGATTTTTGTTTTTTCTTTCCTTTCAAGAGTATATTCTTTCTCTTTCTTTTAATTCCATTCCCGATTCGTAGAGAAAGGTGGGAAAAGGGTAACGGGGGGTTAGTTGGAAGAAGAAAAAGATCGGAACGATCGGAACGTCGAACATGGACCGCCATAAAAAGCAATGCTCTACCGTAACGCGGTACGATAAGTACCGCGTCGCGTCGCGAACTAAAATCGATCCTCCAGGGTGGTGGTGGTCGCTCTTTCCACTCGTACACCATAAAAAGGGAACATTAGAGAGAGAAAGGAAAGTATAAGCCCCTATTTCTCTCTTTCTGTCTTTCTTTCTTTCTTTTTTTGTGTGTGTGATACTGCGAGAAAAGAAAGAAGATAGGGAAACGTAGTGCTGATGTTGTACGGTAGTCTGATGGTTGCTTGTGGAGAACCCTTAGGGTTTTGCCATCTCTTTCTAACGTTCTTTTTTATATTACGTATATAACGGTGTTATGATTTCGCGCCTAGATATGCGAGTACTATACCAACACTATCTGTGCTGATAAACGAACATTCTTTATTTTTCTTTCTTTCTTGTTTTCTCTCTTTTTACTTTATCATCATTGCTAAATACTTTAGACATTAGGAAGAAAGATTTTGTACATCAAATATATCGATTTTTTGATAGAATGATGATGATGATTTTAAAATACATCTATGATTCTGAAAAAAGTTAAGAAAAATTAAATCTTTAGACCCAGGGGGGACATTGGTTTCCTCAGAAGTGCTGATTTTGTACAGCACAGAGAGAGATAGGTAAATGCTAGATTTAACAGGCAGCAGCAACAGATGTAACAGAAGACAAAATGTGCAGGAATAATCTTAAGATTATTCCGAGGAAGCGTTAAACGTTTCTCCGCAATGTTATATAGTCTTTCGCTAAGTCGAGAAGGAAACCTTGGAGTTTGCCGAGAAGCAAACAGACCTCGAGAGCTTCGAGAGACTTGCAGAAAAAGGGGATGGGGGATTGAATAGGAATGGGTACGAAGTGAAATAAGAAGAAGAATAAGAAGAAGAACAGGGGATAAAGTGAAAGGAGCTTGTGGGCGAGAAACCCCAAACGGTAACACTTTGCTCGTAGTCAAGATTCTAGTTGGTTTCGTGAGCGAGTAGCAATAGGTGTTGGGTTGTTCATTCGATGGCAGTCCTAGAGAATAAATTTCCTACTTGATCAAGGCAGCACACTAGGGAAAGAGAGAAAGAGATAGGGGGGGGGCAAGGGTTTGAAGAAGAAGAAGAAGAAGAAGAAGAAGAAGAAGAAGAAGAAGACGTTGTAGTCACGGTACTTGCTTCGCGTTCCTACTCAATTTGCATCAAACTTTAGAGAGACAAGCAAGCAGCCAGGCAGCCAGACAATTCTGCTTTTCTATTCTCTGGGAGGTTTCACCACCTGATGGTAGGTGGTAGGTGAAGGTCTCCCTCACCTCCTCCCCCTCGTCTACCCATCCCCTCACCTTTTCCCATCCTACCACCACCCATCATGTCTACCATCACCTCTACCTCATCTTTCGTTTCAAGCTGAGCCCCACTGCCGAGACTAACGCGTTTAGTAGAGACTCGATTCCCTAATCAGATCTTCCCCGACGGCAGTGTGGAGGGTTTCTAAGGTGCTGCTAAGTGTGAAGTTAATGGAGTCAAGACGCCGTTCCTCTCTTCTATCCGTAGAAGTGTACTACCAGGAATCACTCGGGATGTTGTAGGTTGTCTCTAAGTTACCGTTTATTCATTATTTATCATCGAAAGTGGTGCTTTATTTTACTTAGAAAAGATTAAATAACTAAAATGTGAGTTGCTATTTTACTCATTTTTGAAAATTATTCTTAGAGAAAAGAAAATGTAAGATAGTTAAGGGAAAATAAAATCAAATAATAATTATTTTTTTAATGAATTCTAATTGCATACAATAATAAATGTAGAATATTGATAAAATTATGTAGTTTATTGTAAAAGATAATTGTCATTTAATAATATCGTTTTCAATAGTTTAGGTAAGTCCATCAATAATATATATTTTGATATTTAATCGTAAGAAAAATGTGCATGCATGTATTTCGTATTTCTGTTTGTAAAGAGAACTCGACAGCGGAACATTTATCGAGTGTCCCTTGACATAAATCAATTCGTTTACCTGCGAGAGACATTACCGCTCTTTAGTCTCGATATTAATAGCGCCTTGGGTATCGATAAAGCGACGTATTCGTATCGTTCTGCTACCTCGTTATAGACTCGAATAGATAGGTAAATGCTTTATTTGTCGCCCTGGGATAGAATACTGAAAGTGTGAGAGAGATACAGTGAGAGATAGAGAGTGGAAGAGAGAGAGAGAGAGAGAGAGAGAGAGAGAGAGTTCCAATTTATTTATGCTTTTCCCCCAACCCTCTCTCAACCCCCGAAAACTCGCTCGCAACTTCAACTGTGAGCGACACAAATAATATATGAACGTAATCAATTCAACGTTCGGTAGTATCTACGTGAGTTTGCATCGTCATTGGCGTTAGGTAAACGAGCCACGATAATCACGAATAATCCTATCGATCAAGATCTTATTATTATTATTATTATTATTATTATTATTATTATTATTATTATTATTATTATTATTATTATTATTATTATTATTATTATTAATACAATAACATTACAAATCTAGTATATTTTGTATATTATTTTATATTGGACTATCATCTTTCTCGTGTTTATGAATTTTACTTGATTAATATATAATAAAACGATAATTATTTTAAATTAATGTTTCCAATAATTTTGCAATAATATAGTTTCAAAAGTATTCTTTAATTTGAAATAAATCAACATTACATTTT